TGTCTTTTCTTAAATAAGATTTTAGAGTACAACCATATCCATTCTAATATTGTTTCTAGCTCTCATATTGTGCATTTCAATGGTGAAAGTCATCTTGATCTTTTTTTAAAATGTCCTGATGTATTTAAATCTGAGGAAGAAATATTACCGCCATCACCTTTTAGATGCTAAACCTGAAATACAGCTAAGAGGCTGATAGACTGTTCCCTTCGTCTCTCTTGTTGACTTACCTGAGATGTTTGCATGATTATTCTTTCCTCTCCACCACCAAGAAGCAGCAATCCGGAGTCAGTCTCTGATGTCATTTTATTGTCTGTGGTGAAGAAAAGGGAGATACGGGCTACTTGTGTTCTCGTTCAACAACTTGCATACTGCCCTTTATGGCCTGCGAAGGTTTGTCCTTCAGCCTGCCAGATTCTCTTCTAGATTCAAACCCCCCTTAAGCCCAAAGATCTGATCTCCAGTCAGCAACAGAGATCAGCCATTTCTCCTCCACTGCTGTGAGAGGGGAATGGACTTCCTTCTGATTTTCTGCAGATTGGTGACCTATCACCACCACCATGCTAAGCAATCACCAAGTCAGACCTCCTACGCACTACATGTCACAGGAAACAAACAGTAAATGTGCATGTGTAAAAGAGATAGTATGGCATCCAAGACTTTGATCATTTCACAAACATATGCACTGTATCGTCTGGGAGATACTTGACGTTGCATCCCCCAAATTTTGCAAGTTTTGATTCTGAGATTCTGTATGAGCAACGCTGGCGCAGCCAGAGAAGAACTTAGGTGTTAATTCCTTCAAAAGAAACAACATCTATCAACCAGATTTTTCCTTCGCTTCTGTAGCAGAAAAGGGACCAGCTGAACTCTCAAACTAACATAATATAGAAATCAAATCCACCATCAAGTTCAAAAGAGAAGCTGTCCCTCCGATCTGGAAAGTTTTGAGAAAGTCTTCTTAGTTGTTATTTGGTTTTAAATAGTTTTCGTTTCGGTTCAGCTTGTTTATTATTGTAAACCGTCCAGATCAGCACTTCGGCTGCATGGGTCCCGGGGTCGGGATCCTTCAGTGGGGCCAGGACCCTCTGTGATAGAAATGCTTGGACAATAAGCCTAAAGGAGGTACTTTGAGCTGTATCCTTTTGTAAGGATGTGCCCAGAGGTTGCTGGTGCAAACTTAAGTTCTAGAGGAGACCTCTGCCTCTGCCAGCAAAGCTTTCCTTTCCACACAACAAGATTCTAGCCTTTAATTCTAGTGCAAAATTTTCCTCTCTCTGCTGCTGCACAACAGGATTCTAGCCATAGACTCTAGGGCAGATCTGTCCGTGACGTTTCCCTCTGGGGAAACTAGAGGCAGAGGACAAACCATGTGGGAAGTTTTCTTGATCTTGAGTACAACTGGGCATACTTGGGCATAGGGCAGTGTGGAGAAAATAAACACAGGAAGCTGAATACCCACTTCTGCTTTAGCAAAAATTGCTATTTGGAGAACTGCAAGCAATGGGAACTCTGATGCAACTATTCATCCATTTTTGCTGAGAAAACTTATTTTGCTAACAGAGGCTGTGCGTATGTGCAAAAACAGCTAGTTCTAGTTTATTGTATTAGCTAAAAGCCATCTCAATTGTTTAAAATATAGATATGGTCAATTAAATTCATGATAAAACCTCAGACATATAAAATAATAAGAGACCCTTCATATCTGAGAATCTCCCACACAATTGATCGCAATGACTTTCAGAAAATTAGCCCGAATATTTCTGGCCGCTTTTGCGAATAGCGCTGTTCTGTACGTAACATAAGGGTCACAGGCCAGGAGTAACCTGATCACCTTTATCTGAGGGCTTTCCTCCTGTAGAGCAGCCAAAATGTTACCCGGGACCTTTTCTCGGGGGTTTTTTTGATATAACTGACAATAGAGTAAATAGTGGAGAACATCATCTATCTCACCTGCTCCACAGATACATAGCTTTAGATGTTTAGGTGCAAAAACAGCTCAAGTGCACCCTTTGCCCCACGATGGCATAAAACTACAACACAAAAGAGGCCTCTGACACAGCTCAGCTTGATATAACTTGGTTTGATTTAAGTCATCAGGTGTCAACCTTTTCTGTTTTAGTTTGCTGTACCATGCATTTTGATTTTTTAAAAAAAAACATTTTAGGGGTTGTATGCTTTGCCTAATTACATAAACCACCTAGAGGAGTGTTCTAATTAAGCGGGGGGGGGGGCCTATAACAGTGGTTCTTAACCTTGAGTTACTCAGGTGTTTTTGAACTGCAACTCCCAGAAACCCCAGCCAGCATGGCTGGTGGCGAAGGCTTCTGGGAGTGGCAGTCCAAAAAACACCTGAATAACCCAAGGTTAAGAACCACTGGTCTATAATAGCAATCAATCATCAATCAGGGCAGTTCTCCCTCCACAGGTGGCTTTCTTCTTGTTCCTCTCCTGGTCGCCCCCTCCCCTCCAGTGCCAAACTTTCAAGAATTTAGGAAGAAAGCAGGTTTTTGTTGGTAAACATGAGAACCAGAAACAGCTTCGGGTGAATCCCCTGCAGACTCAACAGTAGGTCCCCGGATCTCCTAAGGTTCAGGAAACCCCCCTCTTGTTTCTGGGAGCAGGGAGAGAATATATTATTTATATTTATTTATTTATTTATTTATTTATTTGATTTATACCCCGCCTATCTGGACTACTTCAGAGAGAGAGCTTCCTTCCTCCCCTCCCCCGCAAAAATACCCTAGACAATTATTTTTTAAAAATTAAACTTTCACCCCGTTTCCTCCTCTCCGTGTAAAATTCCTTGGAAACTGGGTGGATCTGCGAAAGATGCAAGACTTCAAAGGGGATCCTGCAGAGGATCCTGACCTACCTTTTTGTATCTGGATTGCAGGGCATCCCCCCCACCCACCGGCGCCCCATGAATTGCAACGGAAAGATGGAGAAGGGAGCCTCAACCCCCAAAACCTCCCACAAAATTAGATATTTGGTCGCCTTCTCCCTTCCTTCCCTCCCTCCGTCACACCTTCGCCTCTTCGCATCGGCCTCCCCTTTCCTCGTCCGGAAGGCAGAGCGAACGGGGGTGCTACAGTTATCGTCTTCCCCCTTATCCACACATCCTGCCTCTCTAGGATCTGGAACTCTGTGCTGTTAACCCGGCAAAACCCGAAAAATACAAACCTCACTTGCCTCTTCCTCCTGGTCTATTGTTTTCTTGGTTCTTGACTGCTCAGTGGTGGCCCCAACTTTGGCTGCCAGGCTATAACTACCCCCCCACACACACACACCATGTTTTATTTTCAATCTGTAGTTGTAGAATTGCCTTTTTGTATTGCTGTGTTATGTATTGTGTCTCCAGAAAGGGAGAGGGGAAAAAAACAGACTTGCCACAAACCTAGGGAAGAAAATAAAGTCCAAACTGATGTGATCTCATTGTTTAGAATCATAGCCTATGATTGCTAAGCAATGTTTGTTTAGAATCATAGCATTAGATTCCAACCCCTTGCTCAAGGCAGGAATCCAAATCAAAGTATAAGTTGTATACTGTACTTTTGGTGGTAATCTGGTACTGTACAGTAGGAGCCCCTTATCTGGGGGATCAGTAACCACAGTTTCATATTAAAGATTTAAATGATTAAAAATATTAAAAGAAAAAAAAACTAGAAACATGTATGTTCATGGTGTATTTACCAGAACAGGCCAATAAAGGGAGCTGAAAACCATGCTATGTACAGGTATTCTTGTTTAAGTATACATAGCATGGTCTCTAACATCTCTCTACTGGCCAGTTCTGGTAAATACATCATGAAAATACAGTACTGTATTTTTGGATTTTTATCTTTTACTATTCTACATCTACTGTTCACCATTATCCACGGTTTTCAGCATCTGCAGGGGGCTTGGAACCGATCCTCCATGCATACAGGGGCCCTACTCTATGTGTGTGTGTGTGTGTGTGTCCTGTGACATCAAGTCAGAACTGACTTATAACTACTGTACTGTAATAGAGCTTTCAATTGAGATATTTTAAGTTGTTTTACCAATACTGCTTCCCTCAGCGAGTTTCCACGGCTAACTGGGAATTTGAACCCTATTCTTCAGAGGCTCAGTCTGTCACTCTGCTACACCACTGGTTCTTAACCTTGGGTTACCCAGTTTTGGACTGCAACTCCCAGAAGCCTTCACCACCAGCTGTGCTGGCTGGGGTTTCTGGGAGTTGCAGTTCAAAAACACCTGAGTAACTGTGACAAGGTTGACTTCTGCCGGTTGCGCGCTGCTGGTCGTGAAGGCGGGAAATAAAGTCGGAGGCTGATCTAAACTTTCAACAGTGTTCTTTTTATTTTTAGTAACAGAATTAAGTTCAATTGAATCAAATGGGCCCAACAAACTGTCAACAGATAAAACTTGATATCTCTTCACCCTTGCCCCCACATCAGTCTCTCTTTCTCTCAAAAGGGGGCCGGCCCAAAGCGCTCCCGATCCGTCATGGGCCGTAGGGGGGGTGCTCCGGACCGCACACACTGTCCCACAACAGGGATGTCGCGCCCAGTCCCCTTCGAATGGCTTCTGCTGGAAGGCGGGCCCCAGACGTATCACCCTGCGGCCCCCCGAGTTGATTCCGCGAATATACTGCAACGATCCATTCCAGTGGGTCTAAGCCCAGGCTCCTTGCTCCAACCAAAGGAGGATCAGACAAGAGTCCCCCTCCCAATCGTAAATTGGGGAACTCACAATAGATCCCTGGTGTGCTTCCCGAATCGCCCATGGGCTCGGTCTGAACCCCGCGATGTACCTTGCCCGATAGCTCTCCATCCGTTACTAAACTAAACTTCCCTCACTTGGTTTTGCCTCCTCCCACAGTATTAAGTCCAGCTCTTCCCCTCCTTCGTCAACCAAGCAGACTTCTGTTTGTATCTTGGGCACCACCTCTTGTTGATCGATCTCAATCAGTATACCCTCGGCGCAGCCACCGCCGTATCTTGACTGCCTGAGGACGGCACGCTCATCTTCTGCCCTTCACAGTAACAAAGGTGAAGAACCACTGCCCTACACACCACACTGAGACCCCCAATCTGGTAAATACTTAGATTCCAAGGCAGTGATGGGCTACACACCACACTGAGACCCCCAATCTGGCAAATACTTAAGATTCAAAGGCAGTGATGGCCTAAGATCAATATTGTACAGTATATGCATTTATATCCAATATAGGCTATGTATTTCAAAACAGCTCTGCAGTCCAAGGGCTAAATTCCAATACTGCAGTGGCTTATCTCTCATTTTTCCTTCCCATCTTGAACCATTGTATATTTAATGTAATAAATCTCCTTTTATTATTTTTTTTTATATTACGTCTCTGTAAGCCGCCTAGAGTGGTTGCAATGACCAGATAAGCGGGGTATAAATAGAATAAATAAATAAACTAAATAAGGTTCTGCTCACAACCTTAGTTCAATCCCGATGGGTTCAGGTAGCTGGCTCAAGGTTGACTCAGGTCTTCCACCCTTCTGAGGTCAATAACATGAGTTAGAACCAGCTTGCTGGGTGTGGTGGCAAAATGTTGCTTACCTAACTATGTTGTAAACTGTCCAGAGAGTGCAACAATAATGGCTTCTGAATCTCATCTTAATGAGGTAAAAGTTTATAATTGCAAAAGGCAGACCATACTGCATGGTTTATGTGATCTGAATGATGGATTTAAGTGGATTCTCAAGAGGAATATACAGTGGTGCCCTGCTAGACGATTACCTCATTTGTATAATGAATCTGCGGTACGAGACTGGACAAAAAAAAACAATTGTCCAGATTGTCAAGGGGAACCTTTACCTAAAGCAATTGCAAAACAATGTTTTGATAGGAAAAATCGTTTCACAACGATGGGTTCCCTGCTTCGGGAACCGATTTTTCGCTTTACGACGATCAAAACAGCTGATTGTTGGGTTTCAAAATGGCTGCCCCAATTCCAAATGGCTCCCGCTTTGTTTTAGGACGGATTCCTCGCTGTCCAGGCACCGGAAAATGGCCGCCCTATGGAGGATCTTCGCTGGACGATGAGGTATTTCGCCCATTAGAACGCATTAACCAGTTTTTAATGTATTCAAATGGCTCCATTAGAACGCGTTAACTGGTTTTTAATGTATTCTAATGGCTTTTTTATTTTCGCTTGACAACGATTTTGCTCTACAGTGATTTCGCTGGAACGGATTATCGTCATCAAGCGAGGCACCACTGTATAGTGAAGCATCCAGTAAACATGCGTAGCCAAGCTGAAAAAAAAATCCTCCCACTATATACCAGAATAGGTTCCGAATAATATTGTTTTCTCTGTGCTGGACAAATGGGTCATCTTCTTCCAAACAAGAAATAAAAGTTTGTTCAGCAATTTTCTTTTTAAAGGAGAAGACACAGTGAGTATATCTGGCATACAAAATATTATTTATTTATCTCCTCTTTATCTCCTCTTAACTTGTATTTATTTGTCCCCTAATACTTTTATTTGTTGAGCAACATTCAAGAATTTAATAAAGAAATGAAAGAAGGCAACATCAAATAAAGTCAATCCGGACAAAATTTAAAAATCTGTCAGAAGCTATATTATTGCCATAAGTGTTATAGTGTAATGGAACACTGGAATAGGAAAAAAATAATCCATATTAAAAACCTAAAATAGGAAAAATGCCTTTGCTGGGTATCAAAAGATGCCCATATAGTTACCTGCAGGGTCTCCCTAGGAAAGCTTTCCACATCCAGTGAGTTAGCCATCTCTCTCTCCTTGCCATCCTCTGTACTTGAGACAATCCGGGCAATCCTAGAAAGGTTTCGGCTGATATTTTCAGCCGTGAGAAAATACACAATGTAATGGGGGTTTCCCCCTCCCACCAAGTACTGAGGCCACAAAGTGCACAGGACTTTCTGGGTCAAAACGGTAACTTCTTTCAAAAATGTTGTTATATGCCGTCAAGTCACCACCGATTTATGGTGACCCTTTGAATGAGGAATCTCCCAAATGTCCTTGTTTAGCTCTTGTAGACTCAAGCTTGTGGTTCCTTTCACAAGTCAGTCCATCTTGTCTTTGGTCTCATCTTTTCCCTGCTGTCTTCCACCTTTCCCAGCATCTTTTCCAGAAAATCTGGTCTTCTTGTGATGTGCCTCAGTTTCAACATTTTTGGTTCCAGAGGTAGTTCAGACTTGATTTGATCTAGGACCCAATTGTTCATCTTTCTGGCAGACAGACAAAGGTATCCACAACGGTCTCTTCCAGCACCATATTTCAAACAAATCATTTTCCCCCTTTTTCACCATTCATACATGGTGATCAGAAAGACAAAAATGTCGATGATCTTGCTCTTCGTTTCCAATGACACATCCTTATACTTGATTATCTTTTCTCATTTCTTCATGGCTGCCATTGCTACTCTCAGTCTTCTTCTGATTTCTTGGCTGCATTCTGTACACAAAACCTCAAACTATTTCCATTTCTTCATTGTCAACACTAAAGTTGCGTAGTTCTTCTGTAGTCAAGATTTTGATCTCCTTAACATTCAACTGCAGCCCTGCTTTGGCACTTTCTTCTTCGAGTTTCATTTCAGGTCATGGCTGCTTTCTACCAGTAAGATGGTGCCATCTGCATATTTTAAATTACTTATATTTCTCCCACCAATTTTCACTCTTATATTTATTCATTTATTTTATTTATATCCCGCCTATATAATCAATTAAGATTACTCTAGGCGGCTTACAACAGCTAAATTTAGTCTGGCTAAACAGTTTCTAGGATATGTTTCTAGGATTTATATGGTTTTCCCAAAGTCTACCATATTTGGGAGTCAGCTTTCACTGGTACTCTTTCAACGTTCCAAACCATGTCCTTATAGTTTTCTAGTTACTCCCCAGTGTGGTATTTTTGATGCTGCCGAAGGTTTCCTGTTTGATTAAATCTCTTTCCACACTCCATGCATTCATAGGGTTTCTCTCCTGTGTGAATTCTTTGATGCTGTTTAAGATACCCTTTATCTTTGAAATTCTTTCCACACTCCATGCACTCGTATGGTTTCTCTCCTGTGTGGG